ACCCCCCCGGGTCCTTCTCCTGGCCCCTCCTTCCCCGGCGCAGACGGAACCTGCCAGTCAGGGATTAAGTTGATGGGCCTTATCTCCAGCCGTCACCCTCGCGTTTAAGCGCGCTGGAGATCCGGGACATCCTGTGCCAGCTGCCACCAACACAGCGCTCGCTCCGAAATCAGGGACATTTGCAAACAACACGCGCCGCAGTCGGAGGGGTTATTGCACTTGAAGCAGGTACATTTGTCACACCTGCAGACACAGCTCAACGCCTCACGCTGGGCGCGCGCTCCCGCTCTCCCGGGCCACGCATTCCAGGTGGTTCCTGGCACAGAGGAGCCGGGAGGAACCCGGATCCGCGCGGCTACAGCCGGAGGCCGCCCAGCTCATCACACTGATTGCAGAGGGCACCATTAAACACCACGACGACTGCAACGAATGCACAAAGCCAGAGCCAAAATCACACCCGTGAAGCCACAGGTCTTTTTGCACCCAAGCTCAGCCCACAGCCACCAGCTGTCCCAGATGGAAGCTGAAAACGGACCTGGTTCTGCTGTGCTTTCCCTGATCATTTTATCCTATTTTCCTCTTTTCACACTAAATACCCAAGATAAAAATGCCCCCTGCACTTACAAATGTTTTGAAAGATGCATCACTTCCACTATCAGGTGCTTTACATCCATAGTTCAGACTCCTATAAAGTTTACAGATTTGAAATGTTATGATTTAAAAACAAACAAAAAGCATTTTTTTCCTATATTTCCTAGAGAGAAGAGTCCACTGCGGGGCCCACCTGCCCCTCAGACACAGTCCAGAGCTGGGGCAGGAGGAAACCAAAGCAAAGGCTCCCACAGACATGAGGAGAACATCGCCCTGCTCTGCTCCTTGCACCGATGGAAAAAGCAGACGCCTCTGCCCCCGTGGAGCTACAAAAATGACAAAAGCGATGCAAATGTCACCATTTAAATGCAAGACAAGGCTCAACACCAAACCAAAGAGACCTGTAGAGGAGCAAGGTGGCCGGAGGCTTTTCCTTGCGCAGTTATACAGAGGATGAGCTAAATCCAAGAGCAGTGAGCGCACATGTCCTGGCCTTCGGAGTGACCCGGGATACACCGAAATGCTGGCACGGAGACCTAGGAGAAGCCTCTTTATTTAACTCATTAATTCAACCTTTTCTTTTTTGAAGGAAAAAATAAAAAAAAATAAAAAAATAAAGGAAGAAAGAAGGGTTTTTTGTGCTTCAAGGCACCCCTTTCCTGCAGGCCCGGGGTTATCGGCGGCGGCCCCGCGAGGCGCTCGCCTCGAGCCCACGCCGCTTCCAAATGGAATTCCTTCCCGGGCCGGGCTGCTCCGTGTGATATGCAGCCATCAAAGGGCAGGCAGCAGGTCGCTGCTGCCCCGGGCCACGCATTTCCCTTCCAAAGGCAGGAAT